GGAAGCGGCGCCTAGCAAGCAGGCTCCAGTGCCTAACGTTGGAAGCGGCGCCTAGCAAGCAAGCTCCACTGCTTAACGTTGCCTTCTGAACCGACAAGAAACCAGCTCCAAAGTGCAGCTCCCATGCCCTCAAAACAGATCCACAGCGAAGTTCCATTCCGAAACAGCAAAACACTATGGCACTGAAGGACGGAAGCGGCACCTAGCAAGCAGGCTCCACTGCCTAACGTTGCCTTCTGAACGGACAGGAAACCAGCTCCAAAGTGCAGCTCGTATTCCGAAACAGCAAAACACCATGGCACTGAAGGACGGAAACACGCCTAGCAAGCAAAACACCATGGCACTGAAGGACGGAAGCGGCGCCTAGCAAGCAGGCTCCAGTGCCTAACGTTGCCTTCTGAACCGACAAGAAACCAGCTCCAAAGTGCAGCTCCCATGCCCTCAAAACAGCTCCACAGCGAAGTTCGAGCGGGCGATTCCGAAACAGCAAAACACCATGGCACTGAAGGACGGAAGCGGCGCCTAGCAAGCAGGCTCCAGTGCCTAACGTTGCCTTCTGAACCGACAAGAAACCAGCTCCAAAGTGCAGCGCCCATGCCCTCAAAACAGCTCCACAGCGAAGTTGTAGCAAGCGATTCCGAAACAGCAAAACACTATGGCACTGAAGGACGGAAGCGGCGCCTAGCAAGCAGGCTCCAGTGCCTAACATTGTCTTCTGAACCGACAAGAAACCAGCTCCAAACTGCAGCTCCCATGCCCTCAAAACAGCTCCACTACGAAGTTCTAGCGGGCGATTCCGGAACAGCAAAAAACCATGGCACTGAAGGACGGAAGCGGCGCCTAGCAAGCAGGCTCCAGTGCCTAACGTTGCCTTCTGAACCGACAAGAAACCAGCTCCAAAGTGCAGCTCCCATGCCCTCAAAACAGCTCCACAGCGAAGTTCGAGCGGGCGATTCCGAAACAGCAAAACACCATGGCACTGAAGGACGGAAGCGGCGCCTAGCAAGCAGGCTCCAGTGCCTATAGCGTTGCCTTCTGAGCCGACAAGAAACCAGCTCCAAAGTGCAGCTCCCAGCAAAACACCATGGCACTGAAGCACGGAAGCGGCGCCTAACAAGCAGGCTCCAGTGCCTAACGTTGCCTTCTGAGCCGACAAGAAACCCTGTCTGTCTGTCTGTCTGTCTGTCTGCCTGTGTCTCAATGTCTGTCTGTCTGTCTGTCTGTCTGTCTGTGTCTGTCTGTCTGTCTGTCGACAGCCCCACAGCGAAGTTCTAGCGGGCGATTCCGAAAGAGCAAAACACCATGGTACTGAAGGACGGAAGCGGCGCCTAGCAAGCAAGCTCCACTGCTTAACGTTGCCTTCTGAACCGACAAGAAACCAGCTCCAAAGTGCAGCTCCCATGCCCCCAAAACAGCTCCACAGCGAAGTTCTAGCAAGCGATTCCGAAACAGCAAACCACCATGGCACTGAAGGACGGAAGCGGCGCCTAGCAAGCAGGCTCCAGTGCCTAACGTTGCCTTCTGAACCGACAAGAAACCAGCTCCAAAGTGCAGCTCCCATGCCCTCAAAACAGCTCCGCAGCGACCTCCCAGAGGGCGATTCCGAAACAGCAAAACACCATGGCACTGAAGGACGGAAGCGGCGCCTAGCAAGCAGGCTCCAGTGTCTAACGTTGCCTTCTGAACCGACAAGAAACCAGCTCCAAACTGCAGCTCCCATGCCCTCAAAACAGCTCCACAGCGAAGTTTTAGCGGGCGATTCCGAAACAGCAGCGAAGTTCTAGCCGGCGATTCCGAAACAGCAAAACACCATGGCACTGAAGGACGGAAGCGGCGCCTAGCAAGCAGGCTCCAGTGCCTAACGTTGCCTTCTGAACCGACAAGAAACCAGCTCCAAACTGCAGCTCCCATGCCCTCAAAACAGCTCCACTACGAAGTTCTAGCGGGCGATTCCGAAACAGCAAAACACCATGGCACAGAAGGACGGAAGCGGCGCCTAGCAAGCAGGCTCCAGTGCCTAACGTTGCCTTCTGAACCGGCAAGAAACCAGCTCCAAAGTGCAGCTCCCATGCCCTCAAAACAGCTCCACTACGAAGTTCTAGCCGGAGATTCCGAAACAGCAAAACACCATGGCACTGAAGGACGGAAGCGGCGCCTAGCAAGCAGGCTCCAGTGCCTAACGTTGCCTTCTGAACCGACAAGAAACCAGCTCCAAACTGCAACTCCCATGCCCTCAAAACAGCTCCACAGCGATTCCGAAACAGCAAAACACCATGGCACTGAAGGACGGAAGCGGCGCCTAGCAAGCAGCCAGTGGTCTAACGTTGCTTCGAACCGACAAGAAACCAGCTCCAAATGCAGCTCCCATGCCCTCAAACAAGCTTCACAGCTCGAAGTTTTTCCTCCTTTTTCTTTTTTTTTTTCCCAGCGGGCATTTGTTCTCCGAACCCGAAAACAGCAGCGAAGTTCTAGCGGGCGATTCCGAAACAGCAAAACACCATGGCACTGAAGGACGGAAGCGGCGCCTAGCAAGCAGGCTCCAGTGCCTAACGTTGCCTTCTGAACCGACAAGAAACCAGCTCCAAAGTGCAGCTCCCATGCCCTCAAAACAGCTCCACTACGAAGTTCTAGCGGGCGATTCTGAAACAGCAAAACGCTATGGCACTGAAGGACGGAAGCGGCGCCTAGCAAGCAGGCTCCAGTGCCTAACGTTGCCTTCTGAACCGACAAGAAACCAGCTCCAAACTGCAGCTCCCATGCCCTCAAAACAGCTCCACACAGCGAAGTTCTAGCGGGCGATTCCGAAACAGCAGCGAAGTGGCAAAACACCATGGCACTGAAGGACGGAAGCGGCGCTTAGCAAGCAGGCTCCAGTGCCTAACGTTGCCTTCTGAACCGACAAGAAACCAGCTCCAAACTGCAGCTCCCATTTTCCTAAACGCAAACCAACCATGCACTGAAGCACGGAAGCGGCGCCTAACAGCAGGCCGCTGCCTAACGTGGCCTTCCGAGCAACAAGAAACCCTGCTATGTCTGTCTGTCTGCCTGATGTCTGTCTGTCGTGTCTCAAGGTCTGTCTGTCTGTCTGTTTCTGCCTGCCTGTTGTCTGTCTGTCGGTATGTCTGTCGACAGCCCACAAGCGAAAGTTCTAGCGGGCGACTCCGAGAGCAAAAAACAATGGTATGAACGGACGGGAAGCGGCGCCTAGCAAGCAAGCTCCACTGCTTAACGTTGCCTTCTGAACCGACAAGAAACCAGCTCCAAAGTGCAGCTCCCATGCCCCCAAAACAGCTCCACAGCGAAGTTCTAGCAAGCGATTCCGAAACAGCAAACCACCATGGCACTGAAGGACGGAAGCAGCGCCTAGCAAGCAGGCTCCAGTGCCTAACGTTGCTTTCTGAACCGACAAGAAACCAGCTCCAAAGTGCAGCTCCCATGCCCTCAAAACAGCTCCACAGCGACCTTCCAGCGGGCGATTCCGAAACAGCAAAACACCATGGCACTGAAGGACGGAAGCGGCGCCTAGCAAGCAGGCTCCAGTGTCTAACGTTGCCTTCTGAACCGACAAGAAACCAGCTCCAAACTGCAGCTCCCATGCCCTCAAAACAGCTCCACAGCGAAGTTCTAGCGGGCGATTCCGAAACAGCAGCGAAGTTCTAGCGGGCGATCCCGAAACAGCAAAACACCATGGCACTGAAGGACGGAAGCGGCGCCTAGCAAGCAGGCTCCAGTGCCTAACATTGCCTTCTGAACCGACAAGAAACCAGCTCCAAAGTGCAGCTCCCATGCCCTCAAAACAGCTCCACAGCGACCTTCCAGCGGGCGATTCCGAAACAGCAAAACACAATGGCACTGAAGGACGGAAGCGGCGCCTAGCAAGCAGGCTCCAGTGCCTAACGTTGTCTTCTGAACCGACAAGAAACTAGCTCCAAAGTGCAGCTCCCATGCCCTCAAAACAGCTCCAGGATGGAAGCGGCGCCTAGCAAGCAGGCTCCAGTGCCTAACGTTGCCTTCTGAGCCGACAAGAAACCAGCTCCAAAGTGCAGCTCCCATGCCCTCAAAACAGCTCCACAGCGACCTCCCAGCGGGCGGTTGCGAAACAGCAAAACACCATGGCACTGATGCACGGAAGCGGCGCCTAGCAACCAGGCTCCAGTGCCTAACGTTGCTTCTGAGCCGACAAGAAACCCTGTCTGTCTGTCTGTCTGCCTGTGTCTGTCTGTCTGTGTCTGTCTGTCTGTGTCTCAATGTCTGTCTGTCTGTCTGTCCGTTCTGCGTCTGGCTGTCTGCTGTCTGGCTGTCTGGCTGTCTGGCTGTCTGGCTGTCTGTCTGTCTGTCTGTCTCCGCTTTCTGTCTGGGTCTCTCTGTCTGGCTTTCCTCTCTGTCTGTCCTCTCTTTCCTGTCTCTCTGTCTGTCTCTCTGTCTGTGTCTGTGTCTGTGTCTGTCTCTGTCTGTTAGTCTTGTCTGTCTAGTCTGTCTGTGTCTGTGTCTGTATCCGTCTGTCTGTCTGTCTGTCTGTCTGTCTGTCTGTCTGTCTGTCTGTCTGTCTCTCTCTCTGTCTGTCTGTCTGTCTCTGTCTGTCTCTGTCTGTCTACTCTGTCTGTCTCTCTGTCTGTCTCTCTGTCTGTCTCTCTGTCTGTCTCTGTCTGTCTCTGTCTGTCTCTGTCTGTCTCTGTCTGTCTCTGCCTGTCTGTCTGTCTGTCTGTCTGTCTGTCCGTCTTTCCCTTGAGCATTCTTCAGAGCGTGTCTGTCTGTCTGACTGTCTGTCTCTCTGTCTGTCTGTCTGTCGCTCTGTCTGTCTGTCTCTGTCTGTCTGACTGTGTCTCTGTCTGTCTGTCTGTCTGTCCGTCTGTCCCTTGACCATTCTTCAGAGCAGCCTTCTCCAGCGCGCTCCCCCAGCATCCGGCTGGGGTCGGCGGATAACCAGGGGGTAAAAGTATGTGAAACTTGTGAGAAATCCATGGGATTTTGTAGCCATTGACAAATGACTTGGCACCAAGGCTCTGATGGAAGAGCTTCCAGAAGATGCGAACAAGGAGACGGAAGCGGCGAAGAAGCAACGTCACCTGGAATTGGCGCGCAGCGCACAACTTAGGCGTGGGAACTGGGGCGGCAGTCTTTCAGTCTGCAAGATTCTGCCGTTGTCAACAACTTGTTTAGGTTTACAAAAGCTAGTTTCATTTGGTGTTGTTTCTATACACATAAATCATTATACAATATTATTCACGTATGTGTATAATTCGTCAATCAATTGGTGCAAACTATAGAACTGCTCTCCTGCCAACCCATTTCTCTGGTAGTATGTACGCCTCACGAAATGATGGGCCTCAAGTGACAGGGGCTCTGATGTTAGCCTTGGGAAAACAATCCCAAAATCTGGAGATCATTCCTGCCTGTCAAAATCTGAGCAGTTTGGGCAGTTCAAGTCTTCAAGTCAATCCCATTGAATCATCAGCGATTTTTTTTCCCCTAAGCATATATGAATTTCTCCAAGGTTACATCATGTTACATCTCAAGAATCTTGGAGAAATAAAGTGAATAAACACGCACTTTTTTTTTTTTTAAAATCACTTTTTGGCTCTCCACTGTCGAAGGCGCAACGACTTGATGGCGCTGCTGGGAGATCTACCTCCAGAAGAAGCCGAGAAAGCAATACAGAATGCCTTTGTAGTCGTGAAGGCCTAGTGACTGGTAGTGAACTGATCTGTGAACTGGTAGTGAACCGCCATGGCATTCATGGCATTCATGGCATGGCCCTGGCATGGCATCCCACTTGCGCCAGACGGACGAGAACCAAACGGCTCTGGCAGAAGTGGTGGGTGTAGAGCCTTCGGCTCCGTACAATTGCCGGCATCCTGAGCATCCCAAGGAGGTAGGGAATTTTGCCATGGAATTGTGGGCATACTGCAGCGAAACCAGAACAAAGTGGATTGTTTTGGATTGTTTTAGATTGTTGAAGGCACTTCTCTGTGAGGTGTGCAAGCCACTAAAATGTGCAGGTGAAGCGATTAGTTGTGCAGCTGCGCTGCAAGAGAGGCACCTTTTGGCTAAACGGCACAGTGCCTCTGCCGTGCTGCAACATCCTATCTTTGGATGATGGAAATCATTGGAATTGGAATCATATTGGAACCCATGGAATTTCCAGTGTTCCCCCCTTTGATCTGACGATTTCTACGGAGGTGTCTCCGAGAAGTTCATCAAGGCTTCAGCCATTAGCAGCACCAGCATCGAGGAAAGTCATATCCAGCAATGGTCCAAAGTCATGGCCCGCCGGCGGCCCCAGATGAATCCAAGCCATGTATTGTCACCATTTACATACGTATCTTTACAATATTGTTTAGATATTGTTTACATTATGTTTACATAATATGTCAACATGCGCTTTCCTCTTCCGTGTGGCTGGTGATCGGAGACAGTTCCGGCCATTCATTCCAACATCGTAGGACCATCCATCGCATCATTAAATGAATGTTTCTGGTTGTTTGATGATTCAGATATATTCAATTATGTTCAGATACCTTTGGAATCCTTTGGAGCTCTTGAGATTCTTGAGGTTGCAGAATTGATCCTGAGCTTGTTCTTGATCGTTTGAAAGATCGAGCAGAGCAGATCTCAAGGACCTGATAGACCTGATCAGTTGCGCATTGTGAAGCCTTGACCGATGCAGGAACAAGCACATCGACTACACCGAGGACACAGTGAAAGATATTTTAGCCCAAAAGAAGACACTTGGATCATCTTGGATCATTTGGTTCCATCATATACATTATTGATCATTATTGTTGGCTATATAGCCATTATTGACCATTGTTGACCATCATTAACCATTAAATCCATTAACATGTGGATCTTTTTCATGGCTACGATGGGGTCCGAGAGCTGCCAAGCTGTGGGGTTGACTTTACCGCAGTTCACTGAGGAAAATTGAGTTCGATGCGCAAAAGCAATCTCGAATGGCTTGCAACGTGCAGTGGCCAAGCAACACTTGGTGGTCAAAGATGGTCAAAGCACTTGGTAAAACATGGTAAAACAACCATGAGCTTGCAAAAAAACTGAAGACTTGCCAATTCTGATCTCATACTTGTTTCATTTTTTTCATCAGCTATATTCAACACGGCTTGTGTGCTGTCTTATCGGGACGACTTGGTGCCAACAAGGATTGGTCTTACGCAGATGGACATTTCAAGCATCAAGGAGTTCGAGATGGCACAGTTGGCAAAGGATCACAAAGCTGCTGAGGAGCATTTGCACAAGATGGAGAAAAAGGACTGGAGCGTCTTTGTGCTTCTTGCTACATATTGCAATATTTTGCATGCCATTGTACTTGCGAGAGTATGATCAGTACTGTTGTGTTACAACTGTCCTACTACGATCTATCGCGATCTATATATCGTACCCCCACTTTTGAATTTCATCACTGAGAGAAGAGGGTGTTGTGCAGGAGTACGAAGCTCAAGAACATTGGTTCGAGACTCGCAGAGACCTCTATGGTTCCTTGTTCCAACTTACAGACACAAACTACTGTACCCGGCTTTTCATTTAGTTTCCTATAGTTTGTTGGCATTTTTTTGCTCTAACGTTGCCACAATTAAAGTGCTTCGAGACGCATTTCTGTTTCGCAATCTTTGAGCACGGCATTGCTCTAGGTGTCAAGGAAATCAATCGCATGAACGTGGAGCGTCAAAAGCGTGACGACGCGCATGCTTTGAAGTGGCCAGGTTGCAAGGATCCGACAAACTGATGTCATGGATCTCTTGGATGTTTCATTCCACGCTTTTGTTTTGGAGATTTTACCACTAGTACCACAAGAGACGAGAAAGTGGTTCAAACTTTTGGCAAGGTATGCGCTGGAGCACGAAGAACAAGAACAGACCAAGATTAATCCCTTCGAACGAAGGCTCCATGCCTTCGTGCACGTGCTGAGCTCCCCGACAACTGTACCTATAGCCTATAGATCTATAGTATGAGTTTTCCACGGTTTTTCCAGTTGGCCGTCGTTTTTTTTTGAGACATTCAAAGTCTTGTGTTTTTTGGACGCATTTGTCATGGTGCAGGGCGTGTCGACCTGTGTCTGCGTGGGACACAAGCTTGACCTTCGTCGAGGTGCTAAACAGTGGTTTCCAGTCGGATTGCATCACTCATACTGTGGATGGAAGAAATCCTACACCAGTTGGTAGATGGTTTATCCCATGATTTATACGGGTTTCAACCATCCAAGGTGGTGCAGGATTTCTTCCATCCACAGTATTTCAAGTAATGTATGTAATGTACTACCTTGATCAATCCAAGTAAGTTCAGGCCCATCAGAGTCTTTTATCATGTAATGTTTCAATATGTTTCATTGATTGCGGTGGTATTGATGATCGTTGCCAGATGCCGTGCCGAACATGTTGCCAGACTGAAAGGATTCTTGTTGCAGTTTCACTGTCCATTCTGAGGAGCTAGAAGAGATGAAGAGGCAACGCTTGGCAAGAGAAGCCCGTGCCAAGCAGGCCCAAGAAGCCAAGGCCCAAGCGAAGGTTGTGAAGGTGGCTGAGGAAGCAGGAAACGTCAAGGAGGGGATGGAGAAGATGGAGAAGATGGAGAAGATGGCATCGAGTGCCGAGGGAAACATCGGAAACATCGAGTGCCTCAAGGGTTCCAAGGGAAAGGATGGCGAGGAAGACGAATTGGATGAACTGGACAAGATGATCAATGCAGCCAGAGAACAGACTGAACAGAACCAAAGGGAAAATGGTGAAGATGACGATGCAGAGATGGTATCTCAGCATAAAAGCGGATCAGATGCAGTGGATCACCGTGAATCACAAGTAGTCTGTGTTTTTCTCCAGTTTTGACTGTCATCGTTGCTGTTGAAATCTTGAGAAGTCATTGAGAAGTCATTGTATGTCATCTTCAGAGAGCACGGTCTTGAGGCATCTCAGCTGAAGGCTTCCCAGGGTCGTGTGCAACTAGGATCAGCTGGGGCAACTTGTTTGCAAAGCAGGTGCTGCATGCGCACCCAACAAGCCGTGCAAGGATGGTGGTTGAAACATGTTGAAACGAAATGATCAAAACCTATAGAGGATTTTGCACAATCGATTGGAACGATCCCTTTTGGGAAACATGATGAAACATGTTTTGGGTCCCAGTGGCAGATGCCCATCAGCCCATCAGCCCCGGCATGTTCCCAGGTGAGGAAGCTGCAAACCTTGGAGTCGGACAGCGATGATGAAGCTCCGCCCAAGGCTGCGCATGTGACGGGACCCATACAGGACGTGCAAATGACAGGAAACCTCAAAAGAGAGACAACGACTGCACGCTGTCAGCACGCACAAGGGATGCCAGTTTCCCACCCAGACTAGGATATCAAGATGTCAGGATGTCAGGATGTCAGGATGTCACTGTAGCTGGTTTGGTGCAACTGGATTGCAGCGAGTGGTCGTGCGCGTTTCTTGGGACGTCCAGGTTCGAGAGCTAAGTGCCGAAGAGAGGGACCAGCAGGCGCAGATCAGACTACGCAAACACACACAAATCTTCCAACATATTTCTCTAGTGTTTGCTGCCTTTTGGAGCAGAAATTTCTGACTGTGCAGCTAAACCCGCCCAGGAAATGAACGAACAAACGATGGACATGTTGAAAATGTACCAAGAGCTTCTCCGAAATGCATCCTGAGCATCCTGAAGTAGTTGATCCATGTTGAATGGCGTGGCTTGAACATCAGGCCACAGGCCACAGGCCACACAACGCCACTACCGTGCACATGAATTCCACATAGTTTGCGACAGTTGTCGGCAGTTGTCTGTAACAGCAGCTGCTTGACTTGGAGCTCTGGAAGCTCCCCACAGCAGAAAAAGGACCCACTGTTTCAGCTTGTTATTACTTGTTATTTCTGGTTTCAACATGTTTGAACCATAGGGCCATAATGGGCCATAGGGATCCATAGGGTATACCAGGGGTGACTTTTCACAAAATGAAAATGTACAGGAAAGCCCCATACTTAATGGGAAAATATGGCCATTTATAGTGGATTTACCCATTAAAATGGTGATTTTCCATAGTTATGTTAAGCACACTTCTGGTCGATTCCGGTCACTGCAGATCTGAGGCCCTGCTTGGCGCCACTGGAGCACAGATCTTCGTGCTCTGGCGTTCTTGGCAGCCTTCCGCCGGCAGGCTGAGGCGGGACGCAGCGGGTACCGTTGGTATCCATTGGTTACTATTGATTCACAAGTTACGTTTACTTTTGTTTGTTTTTAAGGACAGCAAAGATTGCAATCACAAGAAGAACAGAACAAGTGTGTTCCTTTTGCATGGCAGAATTCGATAAGGTTGGTGTTTCAGTGTTTCTTCAAATCGGGACCCCAAGATCACCAAAAACGGGTCCTCATTAGTGGAGAAACCACTGGTTTGGTGCCCCCACTTTGGGAAAACACCCAGATTCACCGTTCAAGGTCCACGTCGGAGCTGAATTGCCAGGGCATCGACCCCAGGAATCTCACCCTTTGCATCTCCACAACATTTAGCTGGCCGAGGTTACAACTGGAAATCAGCCGCCCAGACTGTCTCCGCTTCCGCTTTCTGAAGCCTCATGGAAATGAGGTCTTCTGTTTAGTGCCTTGGCAACATTTGGCAACTAGTGTGTCCTCTGGATCACACCACACTTAGGGATCTTGTTCTCTAGTGCGCGGCGCCGGCTTTCCGCAGCCATGCATTTTTCGTTTCAAAGTTTTTTGGTTCTTTAGCCGTAGAGCTGCCCATGTAGAACGGAAACCACGACAAGAAAATGAAGTACCTTCCAGATTCCCAAATGGAGGGAACCAAACTTGTTAAACATTTCTTCTGACAGAGAATGATGAAGGAGATAAAGCCACTGGTCAAATCATTTATGTCACCTGCAAATCTCTGTCAACCCTAGATCAACCCACCTTCGGAATGACAGGTCTGAAAGTCTACGTTCCACAACTCACGAGTGTCACAACTCAATGGTCGCAATGGTCGCCATGTCGTGGTTTCGACGCGTTGCTATGCTTGTGGCAACGCAATAGTCCCTTTTCCTGGCGTCATGATGCCTACAGAGGGCAAGGCAGAGGTGCACAAAGTGGATGACAGCCGTGCTGTGGGAATGCAGTTCTCCACTTATACTGTGATTTAGATCATTTTTTAAGCCTCGCGGCCCTTAAATTGGTCCTGCTTAGATTTGACCTCCAGAAATGGTCTGTGTCAAGCGACCCTGCTTGAGGAATTTCATCCACCAGGTGCTCCAATAGAACCTATGGTGGGAGAGGCGTGCTGTTGGTGTCGTTGACATGTTCTCTTTTCAGTTGATCAGACCACTTGAACCCAAAAAGGTTGACACTATGCACCATATTGCACCATGCTGAGTACGCAAGGTCTATAATGTTCTGGCATCCTTTTTTAAGCTACTGAGATCTACTGAGTAGCTTAAGGGATCCATAGGGATCCTGGAAATCTCCTGGAATTCCACATGTCTGACATGTTTGACATGTGGTTCCGAGTGGTTCCAGGCCGCATCTCCGCCCAAACCGAAACATGTGGAACTGCCACCTGAGACGGCGCCTGAGAGCGCAGAGGCGAGTTCTCGGATGGCCAAAAAGTGGAATGAAGAGATGGTTTATGGATTACATGGATATCAATATGTATACTAGAATTATATGTATAAGATTATGTAAGAATGATAGAGTATATAGAGTATATATATAAGATGACTGTATACATAGATATATGATATATGATGTTACATAGAATTTTAATTATCAGGAGCCAATATTCTTGTGGAAACATGGTCCAGAATACCACGATAAATGACTGACAGACTATCAATCCATTCTTGCTGATTCAAGAACCGAAGATCATACATGACATCACACAATTCTGCGGAAAACATGGCTCATGCCAACCAGAAACATGGTGAAAAACCTCCGGAAACAGCTTGATGCAGACTGACCCGGAATACAAAGACAAGTCCATATCCATCCTGTGCAAATGTTGAGAGCTGTGGGTTTGCAGACATTGCGCCGGTTCCAAAGATCACGAGTGTGCAGGTCACATCGCCGCTGCCGATAGGCACTCAAATTAGCGGGAAAGGTCACAGGGATGCAGGGAGTTTAGTAGCCGTTGTAGTTCCCTGATTGTGTTTTGTTGTGTTTTGGAATGTTTCGTACAAATGGCCAGTAGCATCCAGAAGCATCCAGAAGCATCAGGCGAGTCCTCAAAGCCATGTCAACAAAAGCCTCTTCGGTCTCTTGGCGACCAACTTTGCAGGATAGATCCGTGATGATCAGTGATGATCAGTGATCGCACAGGTGACTGGATCTCCACCTGGACCCAACACTCGGATGCTACTGCGGTAGTTGATCTCTACCCCCATGTCTCGTGGCAATGGGAACACAAGACGGGTGCCCCGGCAGCAAACACCTGGGGATCTTTTGTCATTTTCCCACATGTTTCATCCTTATTTTTTGATCATATCTTGTCACCATGCAATCACGAGGCTGGAGGGACTACACAAGGAAAGTAAGCACGAAGATTGAGTTGGCCTACCGCAGTGGAGAGACCAAAACTCGTGTGCAAACTGGCAAGATGCTTTGCTGCAAAGTTCAGGCAGAGGCTGCTTTCCGTGAACTCTACTTTCCGTGAACTCTAACGCAGGACCGGAATACACTTTTTTGCCACTTTCGTAGTGGACACATTGTTTGTTTTGCCCAAAGTACGAGATGGATTCTTGTAGTCCAATGTTCTGAGGAAGGGAGCCGTGCCGATGGAGATTTTCTTCGAGGATGCTTGGCCTGAGATTCCCTCCAGCCACGATCATGTTGTTCTAATTGGTTCTAAATTCTAAAAGTATGTAGATTTAAATGTATCAACTGGTGGAGGAAGCACGACAAGCACCCGTGTTTTCCATGGCAAATCTCTGAGTTGATGCTCAATGGAGACTCAGGACATGCTGCAGCATGACCCCGTCACTGGAAACACTCGGAATGTGCAGAGGAGTGGTGCTTGGTCTAGATGCAACTTGGCTAATGCCTCTAGATGAAGCCCACGAGAAGATGTCAGAGCATGAATGCGGATATGGTTGTGATATATTGTGATGCTTTTATTTTATGGTGAGCTTGAAGTGAGAGTTCTAATGCCGGTTGTTGGGTCAGATATTTTGGTTTCGCTGAGGGCAGAGATTCAAGCGCCTGTGCGCCAGTGTTGCGAGGCTCCAAATGGCTGGTAAAAAGCTTCTAGTTAATGTGCTTGGAATCATTGAGGCTGATATCATCATGAATATCATCATTTCAGATGAGGCAGCACCATCACACATCCATTTCATAGATTTTCATAGATTTTCATAGCGTTTCATGATGTCTTCTGGTAAAAGTGACAACCCTGACTGCTGCAGGGCCCTGGAGACTGGTCGCCCGCGCAAGGAGCGTTTCGCTGACTATCAGAAGCGCCGGCAAGAGCACCATGCAGAGATGGAACATGTGGAAACTCAGGACAAAGAACCGGGAAGCCGGAACGGAACAAACATTGACTCAGTGAAGCTATAAGATGAGCTTTTTCCATCTTTGTTCCTGTTTTTGGTAGATTGAAAGCAGATTGAAAAGACATTTAAACTATTGAACGTCATGTGCTGAAGACTAGGCTTGTTGCACTGTGCTGTGCATTTCCGCTGTGAGAGCTTCCTGACGGGTTGCGGAGCATGCGGAGCATGCGGAGCAGTGGGAGGAGTTTGAAGAGGAAGGGCCATATGGAAAGCATTGCTGCGGCTTGCTGGCGAAAAGCCCTTTGTTCTTTTCAAGCATCCTGGCAGCAAGTCACTCCAAGTCACTCCAAGTCACTCCTCTCTAGAACCCAGACTAGAAATAATTAGACTAGAATACATTCCCATTCAACTATTTGGATTGCAAAGCAATGCATGGCTGTTGCATGAGAGTCCCGCTGATACCAGCATCATGAGCTATGGCAGCTACGGCACGGGCTGCCGTTGGCATGCCGTTGGCACAAGGATGCACAGCCAAGGCACAATGATGGCAGTCGTAGCCTACACGATTTGGCTTGGTATTGATGCAGCATCTCAGACCACCAAACTTGATGGAATCCATCGAATCCCTACAGATTTGCGGATGTGAAGCGTGTTTTCAGCGTTTTTTCAGGCCCGAGTAACTCGAAGCACTAAGGACTGGAATCCTGTACATTCACTTCACGACTCGGAACCAATATTCCAAATAGTGGAAAACCTCTTCTGTGTCACTTGCTTTTAGTTTCAAAGGAATACTTAGCATATCTTCGCATCACCCCTGCGTCCCTTTGAAGGGGCTTGCGTCCTGTATGCAGCTGTAGGTCATTTTCACTGCTGAGCTCATAATCCGTTTCTGCGGCTTCCAAAAGAAGAGAAGGTGCCTTCGAGACCCTTGGTTCCTTTTCGATTTGGTTCCTTGGAGCCAATTCAAGCACCTCAATTGTGCTGATTCCGAGGATGTCAGGTTTGCAAAGGTTTTGATGGATCCTTTCAGCTGTTCCAAGGTTCTTGCTCTCCTGATGATGCTGGAGGTTTGGATAATGCCTATCATATTCATTTTTGCCCCAGATGTGAGTCTGGGCCCCAGCACTTGACCCTTGGAAAGCACACGTTCCTAAAGAATTTCCAGAGGTTGGATTCAAACACATAGTACATATGAATGTATGAATGTATGAAACACAATAACATCTATGGAATACTGTATATAATGAATACATGAAACAAAAATAAACAAAATGAAATGAAGAGATGGCAGGTGATGTTGGCAGGTCTATCTCCGTTGAGAGTCCCACGAGCAACGCCAAGATGTCCAGTGGGGACGGTCACCTTGGTCACCTGCGTTGTGCTTAGGCGATTGGTTTCAGCAATTTACGCTTTTGAGAACGTGGGGCTCTGAGACAACAGGGCATGCCAGGAAACTTGATTATGACATATACAGACATTACATTACATTGCATTACATTTCATTGCATTACATTACATTACATTGCATTACATTTCATTGCATTACATTGCATTGCATTGCATTACATTACATTGCATTACATTGCATTGCATTACATTACATTACATTGCATTACATTGCATTGCATTACATTACATTGCATTGCATTGCATTACATTGCATTACAATACATTACATTGCATTGCATTACATTGCATTGCATTACATTACATTGCATTGCATTGCATTGCATTACATTGCATTGCATTACAATACATTGCATTGCATTACATTTCATTGCATTACATTGCATTGCATTACATTACATTGCATTACATTGCATTGCATTACATTACATTGCATTGCGTTACATTTCATTGCATTACATTGCATTGCATTGCGTTACATTACATTGCATTACATTGCATTGCATTATATTACATTGCATTGCATTGCATTGCATTACATTGCATTGCATTACATTGCATTACAATACATTGCATTGCATTACATTACATTGCATTACAATACATTGCATTGCATTACATTACATTGCATTACATTACATTACATATATATATAATAATTTGATAATATATATATAATGTAATTAATAACATAATATAATATAATATAATATAATATAATTCAATATAATATAATATATATATATATGATACTATATGATAGTATGATTCTGTATGTTTCAGGCAAAGACTCCACCACAGCCATGGAAGCAAACTCAAATACACAGTGGAAGGCTTTTCCTGTGATGCAGTGTAAGTTGAGAGGGGGGACTGTCAGAATTGCCAGGCTGCGACTGGCCCGCTTGGCACGTCTCACATCCCTCCTCCGCGCTTTTCCTGAAGCCATGATGCTGCTGAAAGGCAGGGCGACGTGTGCTGCTTGTAAAATTATAGGCCAACACAAGACCTCCGCAGGACAACTTGCAGCTCCCATTACGTTCCTAAAATCTGTATTTAATTGCCTGCGGCAAGCCCGCCGGCCATAGCCATTTGGTGCATAGAGACATTTTATATGAGCCTTCGGCGTAGTCGCAGACCGTGGCCTGGACAAAAACAAGGCCAGTACCACAGTGCGTCTGTGTTTGTGTAAAAGCATCTGTGCGTCAAAGCTGCGGTGTGTAAAGGCTTCTGTGTGTAAAAGCATCTGTGCGTCAAAGCTTCTGTGTGTAAAAGCTTTTGTGTGTGAAAGCGTCTCTGTGTATAAGCGTCTGTGTGTAAAAGCATCTGTGCGTCAAAGCTGCGGTGTGTAAAAGCTTCTGTGTGTAAAAGCATCTGTGCGTCAAAGCTGCGGTGTGTAAAAGCTTCTGTGTGCAAAAGCATCTGTGCGTCAAAGCTTTCGTGTGTAAAAGCTTTGGTGTGTGTAAAAGCATCTGTGCGTCAAAGCTTTTGTGTGTAAAAGCTTTGGTGTGTGTAAAAGCATCTGTGCGTCAAAGCTGCGGTGTGTAAAAGCTTCTGTGTGTAAAAGCATCTGTGCGTCAAAGCTGCGGTGTGTAAAAGCTTCTGTGTGTAAAAGCATCTGTGCGTCAAAGCTTTTGTGTGTGTAAAAGCTTCTGTGTGTAAAAGCTTCTGTGTGTAAAAGCTTCTGTGTGTAAAAGCATCTGTGCGTCAAAGCTGCGGTGTGTAAAAGCTTCTGTGTGTAAAAGCATCTGTGCGTCAAAGCTGCGGTGTGTCAAAGCTTCTGTGTGTAAAAGCATCTGTGCGTCAAAGCTGCGGTGTGTAAAAGCTTCTGTGTGTAAAAGCATCTGTGCGTCAAAGCTTTTGTGTGTAAAAGCTTCTGTGTGTAAAAGCATCTGTGCGTCAAAGCTGCGGTGTGTAAAAGCTTCTGTGTGTGAAAGCGTCTGCGTGCACAAGTTTCTGTGTGTAAAAGCTTCTGTGTGTAAAAACTTCTGTGTGTAAAAGCTTCTGTGTGTAAAAGCCTCTGTGTGTAAAAGCTTCTGTGTGTAAAAGCATCTGTGTGTAAAAGCTGCGGTGTGTAAAAGCTTCTGTGTGTAAAGGCTTCTGTGTGTAAAAGCGTCTGTGTGTAAAAGTTTCTGTGTGTAAAAGCCTCTGTGTGTAAAAGCTTCTGTGTGTAAAAGCGTCTGTGTGTAAAAGTTTCTGTGTGTAAACGCTCTGTGTGTAAAAGCTGCGGTGTGTAAAAGCTTCTGTGTGTAAAAGCTTCTGTGTGTAAAAGCCTCTGTGTGTAAAAGCTTCTGTGTGTAAAAGCCTCTGTGTGTAAAAGCGCCTGTGTGTAAAAGCGCCTGTATGTAAAAGTGTCTGTGTATAAAAGCTCATGTGTGTAAAAGCTTCCGTGTGTAAAAGCTTCTATGTGTAAAAGCTGCTGCGTGTAAAAGCTGTTGTGCGTGTAAAAGCTTTTGTGTGTAAAAGCTTCTGTGTGTAAAAGCTTCTGGGTGGAAAAAACACTAGAAATCCTTCACTCTGCTGGGGGAGAGCTTTTTGGACGGAAGCCGGGAACGCCTCTGTGTGTAACGGAGTGGCGTCGGAGAGGAGTAGGAGTGGGAGTAGGAGTGGGTAGGAGGAGGAGTAGTAGTAGTAGTAGTAGTAGTAGTAGTAGTAGTAGTAGTAGTAGCAGTAGTAGTAGTAGTAGCAGTAGCAGCAGTAGTAGCAGTAGTAGCAGTAGTAGTAGTAGCAGTAGTAGTAGTAGTAGTATCAGTAGTAGTAGTAGTAGTAGCAGCAGTAGTAGCAGTAGTAGCAGTAGTAGTAGTAGCTAGTAGTAGTAGTAGTAGTAGGGAGGGGGGGAGGGGGGGGTGACTTTGATTCAGACGAAGCAAAAACGCGCGGGAAGAGAACAAAGGAACAAGTACAAGCCAAGAACAGAAACAAGTACAAAACAAGAACAGAAACAAGAACAACACCTCACAATCAGACACGCCGGCAGGCCGGCGGATTTGGTGATTCGATGTGATTCGAATATTCCCATATTTGTGGCATTTTGTGGCTTGTGGAGAGGGCTTCAGATGTTTCAGGGGATGACCCTGTATCAGCACACCAATTGACACTAGGACGGCTCTTTGACTGGTGTAGGTATCTATGCTGCCGTACGTGGTGTCGTGACTACACTTTGCTTGCATCTTGGACTAAAACATGACACGTGTGTGACTTCAACTGCCTGATGTGATTGGAGCCTCGACATGAAACTTGGCCAATAGATCAGCGGGCCAATTCGAAGAAGTGATGAACAATGATGAACACAAATGGCCAAAATCAGTGCACTGACAACTTCGAACAGTTTCAACTGGGGATCTATGATCTCAACGGTTTCAACGACCCGTGAAGCCAAGGTTAGTTGTGATGCTTTTTATCTTCGGTCTGATCTTCAAGTCCCAGGTGGACGCTGACAAAACCGATGGAACAAACAAGCAACACGTGTTTCTGCGGAGTGATTGAACTGTCACGAGGTGTTGCGTTTCTTCCCCATGCCATGAATCTGTTTATGGATGCTTATCACGTTTCGTGACAATTTTCATTGAAGGATGACAATTTTGCTTTGAACTTGAACCAAGTCCTATTGAAGGCGCTCGAAAATCAAGCGTTGGCCGACCGGTACTTCTCCTCTCTATTCCACTCAATGTGGTTGCTTGGCATATTGCTTTGACAGATTCTTTGACAGATTCATGAGATTTCATGATGATCTAGTGGAGTTGCAGAGGCTTGAAAAAAACTCTGCAATTCAGCAATTGGCAGGACACTTTTCATGCATGCCACCTTATTGGATGGGCCCTCCATTGTTGGACGCCAAGGCTGTTAGATCTTTTGACATGCAGCTGTACTAGTAGCAGCAAGTCTTGATTTGAACAGCAGAATCTATATAGAAGTAATAGAAGTTGCTCTCACTGAGGTCTACTTGGCTTCTCGACTGCATGGGAATTTTCTTTGGCCACCCAACTGGATGCATCATTTATTGGCGTAGGATTGTATTAAAACTCCCCCTTGATTGTTTGCCACATTTGGTCTTTCGAAAGAGGTTTTGGTTTTGATTTTGCCTTCGTAGTTATGTCATCGATCACATTAACATAAAAACTCCTGCGTTGAGGACATCGAAGCTGGCCTTAGCAGATTTATGGCCCAGCTCCTGGAGGGTTTTGGCCCAGTTTGCACATGGACTCAACGAATCGAAAGTGCCGAAACGCGACGAAGGCTGGGCTCTTCGTGCTCTTTATTTTCATCAGCGCGTTCACGGCACCTTGGCAGCGACTTTTTTCGGAAAAACTGAAGGCAACTCAGCGGTGGTTGAAGACTTCCGCCCAGGTGATGAATATGCTCATCGGAATTTTATGTGAGGCGAGACCCTGAAAAAATCACCTCCTGGTCGGGGTTTTTCTGTGCAGAGAGTTTTGTTGAACGAAGCTGTTCAGATCATTGCAATGCTGCAACAACAATGACAAAATATGACAAAATAAACGGGTCACCTACAAAACTACAAACATTACAAACCAAACAATAACAGCTACTGAATTTAGGGTCCAGAGGATGAGGGTTGTGATCAACCTTTGGACTACTTTGAATATCAGATCTGCACCTCTGGCATTGATTCTTTCTGGAGTACTTTGGCCTTAGTGACCTTAGTGGTTTGTTTCTTTTATTGCACCGGATCCTAAGTTTGAAACATTTCATCGGATTTCAGATTTTGACAGATTTTGCATCTTGCTCAGCTCGCTTGCATTCTGTCCCCCGAAGCAACCCACACCCTGACTGGTTGGCACTTGGATTTTTTTTGGATGCTGCGGGATCCAGTATTTTTTGTCACCTCGCACCGGAATTGCGGCCTTCTCACAATGTATTTATTCAGCTTTTTCCCTGTCGTGAGGTGATCAACAAGGTTTCTGATACAGAGAAAGAAGAGGCCAGATTAGCCGACTCGCTTGGGTTTTGCATCTCCTTGTGTGAGAGTTCATTCTTAGCTTTTCGCTTTCAAAGGCTTCCCCTCAGATCTGCATTTGGAGGATGTAAGAAGCGTTTGTTTGCCGTCAGGCTCAAATCAGATGGTTGAAGCGTCATTTGCAAGATATATTCGAATGCTATGCCGGAGCCCTTGTGTGAGCAGCTTGTGACAGATTTTGCTCATTAGAATAGTCCTCAAAGCGAGTGACAGAATGCACAGCGAATGCAAAAGCAATTTGAAATCCGCAGAAACAAGGACGTGAACCAGGACAAACACATTGGTGTCAAAGAATTCGATCTCCTGTTGAAGAACCTGGAATTCCGGGAAACACTTCTTCAGTTCGGTGGAGCACTCAGTCTCATGTACTGATCGTAACCTGGATGACAAGCTGTGACAAGCTGTTTCAGGGTTCGGCGTCGACATTCCGACCCAAGGTACTGACATTCAGACCTTTGGAGAGATAGTCCAGGCAGCTTGGCTCAGGATGAACTGCAACATGGTTCCAACAATTATGAGGTTTTCATTCCTCGTGACTCTATAGAGAAATGAAGCTGATGCAGATGCTTCGAATGTGGTAAATTTCCCGTAACTTCCCCAGTTTCAAGGCTGAATACACCTCCAAAACGAGCAGCATGAGCTTCGGAGAGCTTGTATCCTACGTCCTACGCTTGAAGGCAGAAAACCTCGGGAGATTTGGGCAGCCAGACAGGATTCGTTTACCATTTCAATCCTTTTCATAGCTCCTTGAGAAAGGATCTGCTTAAGGATCTGCTTGTACCTCCCCCAAGGTTCCCTTTGATTTCTTGTCCTATGAGTTCTTGTGAGAGAATCGATTCCTTGTTAGGGTGGAAATGGTGCTCAAGTGACCGACATCGCAGACCTGCGAAAGAAGCACAGTTGCACACAGCAGAATCTCTAGGAGTTCATGAGACGATAGGCCCGATAGGCCACAGAGGTAATTTGATGTAATTTGCGACTCAATGTGATATGTGAATATGTGTGACTCATATTTCCGGCCTGCACCTGCGCATTTTCTGTCCCACCAGATGCACCCAGGGGGGCTCGGTTGAGTCTTGAAGCATCTGAGGTGTGTCAAGCAGCTTGAAGTTCGCCTGGAGAATTCAGGCCTTGATATGTTGACAATGTGTCAAAGCTTCCAGTCGTTAACAACTGGTTGGCGCGTGAGGGATGCTCCACGAGAATTATGCGGCGACCCGACCACCTAGAGTGGAATCGATCAAGGCGCAGAATTTCGCAACCATCGGTACAGTTTCTCACGACCTTTGGGATCAACTGTGGAGCACAGCTGGACGTAGTGTCTTCCAATCCTGGAGGTCCGTATCAAGCGTGCCAGGGGCTTGAGGAATTCAGATGTGGTGCCTGGAACAGGCGCAAAGTCACAAGCCTCACTTCTCGCAGATGTGTACCGTGTCGCCGTAGTGCCGTTGTCCGAACATTCCGAACACACTGCGGTAGTTGGAGAGGTAGACAGCGATGCGCTTAGTTGTCGACAGGCCAATCTGATGTCTACTGCAAATGCTGCGCTCTTAGCCACCGTCACTGACCGTCACCGGGAAAACCCTTCAAACAATTCGCCTATGACAAATGGAGTAGGAGAGAAGTGCATGAAAACCTTCAATGCACTGAGCAACCACTTCATCCATTTGCAAACTGTGATCAGCAAATAGTCGAAGACAGTCAAAGACTCCAAGACTTTCTGTCGGGCAGGTGTTGTGCTCGGGAAGCCTACCACAGGGGTGAGAACCCGCGTTGTTCAGGCCTGACATTTTCTTCAAAGTCTGATACCAAATCAAGCCTGGAAAGCTAATGAAAGCTATGACCGCATAGCCAGCACAACCTGACAAACCGATGGTGTCGATGAAACCATGAGGAAGGCAGTAGTATTGTACAGCCATGTGCTGAATGCACCAAAGCTGCAGGACAACATATCTCCGATCTGGGATGAGGCTCTTGACTTTGATCAAATTCTTGCATGTTTTTGCATTGTGCGACACTTACAGGGAACTTCACATTTCAGAAGCTGGTACATCGCAAGTCATCCTGTTTTGTACGATGGGGTCTCGTTCATGTTCGTTCTCGGCAGGAGTTCGTGATGGCTGATTATCAAGCGGGAGAACATTTGCGCTTCCAGCTTTTCGACCAAGACCTTCCACTGCTGAAGGCCGGAACGCCACCATAGCTCCCTGAGTGCCATGGTCTGGTTGTATAATGTTGTATACCCATAGGCCCATAGGGATGGTCATCAAATGCCATCAATGCATTTATCATGATTTACACGCCCATTGAGATTGGATTTCCAGGAAAACCATACCATAACCTTACCATAAGCCACGGTTTTGTCCGGGCATCATCGGGCATCATGTTTTGGGAGGAAGATGACTACCTCGGCTCCGTGGTGCTGGAGAGCAGCCGCTTTTGTCCACAGGGCTTCGAAGGAGAGCTGCGATTGACCGGTGCTGGTCAAGGTGGCTTGGCTTGGCCAACACATCTCCGTTGAGAGTGGTGAAGACGATGGGTTCGAAATGGTTCGAATGGAACGGATGTTCATGGAGTTTCTGTGTCACATTTCCACAGAACATGGTTTGAAGAAGCTTTGGCACGTACCATCAACACACAATCACAACATATTAAACAGAATCAGAGGTACTTGCCAAGGAGGTATAAGAATGCTAAACTATTTTGAGCAAACGTGACGTTTTGCTATTCCGCAGCAACCTGATACCATGCTTTGCAGCTATGCGATTCAGGATGACACTGGTTGTTGCAGGTCTAAGTATTGTATTGATGTGCTCAGCGCAGGTGTGGAAGCATACCTCGAAGTCAAGGTGGCATTTGCCCCGTTCAACGTGTGTAGAGATAACGATTTGTTGCAACGAGTGTTTGCAGATGTTTGCAGTCCCTGTGGATTTTGGTCCTGTCAACATGGTTTGCCTATGTTTGCCTGCTTTTTCGGCTTTTTCTCCTGGATTGAACATGGTTGAGCCAGGTCAAAGTGAAACTGCTTCCAGTGGTAATCTCAGTGAAATCACAGAGTGTGGTCGAGTCTCCCAGTCTTCCGACCGGTGAAAAAACCAAGGACGAGGAAGACTTGGGTGACCAACCCCAGACCTCTGAAACTGTCAACAGCATCTGCTCGAATGAAAGTGCAGGCGCCCCTGCGGGTCTTCCAAGAGTATGGGATGTAAGTTTGCATAAATTTGCTGTCTAGACATGGGAAGAATGTGCTTTCCCATGGGAAACATAATCATATACTATACTCACAATTAGATATGCATGTCGGATTCCGGATGAGTTCCGGGCATTTTGAGAATGAGACACAGTGTTTAGAAAGTTGCTAAATACTATAGCCCCCATTTACAGACCACACAGGCGCACACACGGAGAATGTCAATACCAAAATGTCCCATCCAATTTCAGCTGTTGAAAGGTTGCCAAATCAGAAGAGCTCTGGGAAATTTCAGACATTACATCCATTGCTCTGAAGCAAATTGAACCCGCCAAGCCTCTTTATTGTGCATCCAATAATTTGAAGTGTAACAGCCTGTTGGGAAGTTCTAGTCATTTCTTGGCTGCAAAAAGAGCCAGACGTGTGTACTTGACATCTTCTGTGTGCTGGGTAAGGCTAGTTACAGTAAGCTCAAACCAATGTTTCTTTGGCAGTGTTTTCTGTGCAGCCATCGCTCATGACGTGAACATGGCAGATTTGCACGAGGTGCCTCCAACCTCGCTATGATTCTGGCGAGATTGGATGATGTCTATGCTGTTCAGAAGGGCTTGCAAGAGCAACTGCGGCGCAGCTTGACCATGAAAGTTTGGGCTGCGCGGTCCTGTACATGTCATGTCAAGAGATTTTTCGCAGTTCGTTCGAAAAAGGTTTGAACAGTTTCAGAACACCCAAGTTGATGCAGATTGGTCAAAGTGATTAAGCTTAGCGCCCAGGCAGTGGACATACTTGTATGTGGGAACTCCAAAGCAGGAGGATTTACAAAATAAGACTGGGCTGCTGACATGGAACACGGACCACTCATCAAGTAACTATACTCATTGAATCTATTTGGATAACAAACGCCCGATGACCTGCTGAGCATTGAACAACATTCCGGGCACCCTCCCATCATGGTAGATCTTACTTCAGGTGTTGAAGAACGGATGGACATTGTCGAAGTAGCAGCAGCTTGGCAGACTTGTGGATTCTACGCAATCCAATGTTCATTGCAATGTCCCTTGCAATGTCCCTTGCAATGTCCGTTGCAATGTCCTGCAAGCTTCGTTTTGATGATCAGGTGACCAGGACGGCGACCCCGGACCTTCGAGGGTTCAGCTGATGCATCGCAGATCGTTGCGGTTGTGTTTGTGGGATCCGACGGAGAAGCGAGTGCCCCATTTTATTGGAACATGTCCGAGGTGCTCGATGAAATCGACTACCAGTTTTCCCATGTTTAGCTTTTAGCACCAACAAGTCCTTTGTATTCGTCCAAATATCTGCCACTTCTGCAATCATAATGTATTTTCTGTATGCACTGCACAGTGGATAGCAAGGGCTTGGTGGTTTCGTGGAGAATGCAACAGAACTTGCAAGTGACAGATGGAACAAAATGGAACAACATGGATAAAGATGGAACAAGATGGAACAAGTACTGTACAAACAGGAGGAACATCCTCAAAATGGACATCCTGCTTACAGTTTTGTTGCAATCTTTGGTTTGGCTGGTCACAACTTGTCACCTTTTTTTGTCACGCGATTCGCCTTGCTGAGCTTTGCGAGTCGGCCCGCGCTCCCGGCTTTGGTATTTCATTTTTGGCCCAAAGCGACTGGCCGGAATCGGACGACTATTGGACGTAACGTCCGTGGTCCACTAAAGCCACCCTGTGTCTGTGATGTTGGCGGTGACTTGGGTGCTGGCTCACACCAATCTCCCATGTCTCACTGAAAAAGAGCTGAGAACAGGAGCACAGCATAGCACAGCAGTGGAGATGCAGAGAATAGGAGAGAGGCAGAGATTGGTACAGAATCCGATGAGATACCGCAAGCAGCGCAAGCAGCGCAAGTTCAAATTGCGACCTGCGACATGAGGTGCCCACACCGAGCAAGATGGGCGAAGAGGTGGCGAGAATTAGCGGGAAATTTTTATAGAGATTGACCATTGATTCACCTTCAAATCCCTTTTCATTTTTCAATAATTTTTCAATTCCATGAAGATTGAAACGTTCAAACTTGTCAGCGACGTCGCATTTTCTCGCAGAATGATACATGCATATGCCACAATATGCCACATGTATCCATACGCGGTCCTTCTGAATTCCTTCTTGGATTTGTTTGACAGGCGGAACTTCCTTGCAGCTTCCAGTGGCTGGACGGGAGTTGAGCACGGCAGACATGTCTTAGCTCCAGACCCAAGCTGACATGGTGTCAACTCCAAATCTCACAAGAACGTGTCAAGAACCCAGCAACAGCATGCAACAACTACTGCAGTATAAGCATATTATACTGAATTATACATAACATATAATCTTGATCAGTTTGGTCCCAAAGCTACTGCCTCCGAATCATGATCTGATTGCTCGCTTTGCTTCCACCATGCTGGTCTTTCATACTTGGCTCAAGTTCTGCCTCTCCGAACCGATTGGCGTTTCGCCAATTCCGGTCGTGAGGACTGCAAAACTGTTTTTCCTTTTTGAAATCTTGCAACTTTAAACTATAAACAAACACCAACAAACTTTGTAGATTTGACTTCAATCTATTTCAATCTAACGTTTGCGCCCTCTGAAATGGAGCACTCGAAAGGACAGACATGGCTCAGATAACAATGCAGCTGCTTGGCAGAGTGTTCAGATCACTGTCGACATCCCATCCTCAATGTGGACCTAGGATGACCTAGGCGTGTGTTGGATCACTGAGGTTCTTTCGCGCACTTGGAAACTTTGCTGCACGATAGGGAGGCCAAAGAGCCGCAAAGATGGTAAAGGCAATGTCAATACCAAAGAACACGTTGAGATCTTAAAGATACGTACGTTCAACCCCGCCACTATGTGCAGTCTATTGCAGGATACATAATATGGATACGTTTGGACATTTGGAGACGTTTAGACAGCTTGGCATTCCAAGTCCATGCTTCAGCTCAGGCGCCCTTTCACTTCTCGCCTTCCATGCTGCTGCTGCAAAGACGAGCGCAGAGAAGAATGCTGCAGAGGTCTTAGCTTCGTCACCTGATTTGTTTCATTTTGATTCCATGCGAAACTGCGAAACCACGATCCACGATTTGCTGAGATGGACATCGAGAGTCTGGCGGGCATCACCGAATCTCATTTGAGAAAAGCAGTCCTTGACTCAGAGCGATCCCTGCATAGTTTCTGTATAGTTTCTGTATAGTTCCTCCATGTCCTGACGAACATTTGGTACCAAACGATTTGTTGACCTTTGACCACTTCAGGTGAATGCTTCGGTGGCTGAAGAGCCATCTTCCAAGCAGCTGACTTCTGTTGCAGGCAACTGACCACGAGATCTTGCCACTGTGCCTGAAATTGCCCTTGCCCATCACTTGCCCATCACTTGAAAGTGTTTGACTTCTTCACATCGTGCGACGCACATCACATGTGGGTAATATCGCTATCTCGATGCCTTCGCCAGGTGCGCTGACCCATTTGCTTCACAATGGCGCTGAGGCCCGAAGAACCAGCGGTAACCGGACATGTTGTTTTTGGTAATGCCCTGCTTTTTCTGTGAAGTTTCTGCTGCAGGGATCCAACAACTCTCAAATTGTGTCGACCATTCTGGAATTGGTCAATGTGACCATGCGGAACAAACTCTTCGCTGCTCATGAGAAGAGCTGCTAGGCCGCAATGGCATCATATAGACGTCATTAGGCGTCATTACAGTCATTACAGTCATTACACGTCCAATGAGATCATATGAGATCCACTTGTGGTGAAGCAGTTCGCCGCTGGACGACTGAGGCTTGCAAAAACTCACAGATGCAGAGATTCAGTTCGAGTTTTGCATGAACACTTACAAGGCCGTGTGATCTGTGATTCCTAGCTGCTTAGCTCGTAGGAGGGTGAATCATGGCGCATCGATCCCACTGCAGACAGGCCGCTGACAAAGTGCGATTCCCCCCGACATCGCCATTAACCTCAGATGTTGAATTAGTGAAACAAAACAGTGCTTTCTTGAATTCTGGCCTTCTAGGGTTTTCTACTCTACATGCTGTGGCTTGGTAGGCTTGACTGGTTTGTGCCCAGGTTCTTACAGGCCAATGATACAAATAGCACTCCATGGTACGAGGCTGGGGGAATGATTGCAGAAACTGGAGATGGTTGACGAACTGCTGGAGACACGTGACACATTCTCGTACCTCAGAACTGTCTCATTGACTCGTCCATGTGGGATTTTATGTGACGAATGTGTCACGTAGCTAAAGCCGGCTGCGCAGGAGTACTTTGAGTCCTATCTCTGGTGCAAGAATTACGAGGCAAACCTGTCTGCTCAAGTCAATGAGTGCGTTGGGGACCCAGAACAACAATGAACAACAGACATCTTATGTGTCGCAGTGATGCTTCTAAAGCAGCACTTTCAGCATAGGAATCAATTGAAGTGACCAGTTTGAAACAACATACGATGCAGTCATTGTGGACCCTGGTGACCATCCCCAAAACTAAAGGATTTTCCAAAACCTGACTTGAGATGTTTGGTTTGACAGGGTCCTGTACCTGTCTTTTTGTGACATTTCGTAGAGTATATTCCCAATGAAATAGCCATTTAATAGGGATAATAATCAGCAAAACCATTGGGTTTAGGGGTACACTATTTTCAGACAAACCCATATATTCTCTTTATAAGATTTCATGTAAGAATATGTGCGCATACACACCTTCCGTGCCACAAGGACTTGTCAAGATTTTCAAGGTGCTGCATGAAGAATCGAACATTCGCTGAAACTGAGGACTACTTCTGTCTGCAAGAGACGCAGACGGTTGATCAAAACTGCGTCGCACTTGATGAGGACAGACTTGGCATGGCCTGACATTTGATTGGTGAGGTATGGATATATAGGGCCTCAGAAGCTAGTCAGCTAGTCAAACAAGAAGAGACACACAATCAGCCGTCCGAGCATTGGGAGTGCTGACTCAGAAGAAGATCCTACTGTAGCAAAACATGTCACGCATTTTTTTCGAGTATTCTTGATGCAAGACTTCCCATTCCATGAGAGTTTCAATGTCAGGCACTCTGTGAGGCGCATTGAGCATATGAGTAAACAACGACAATTTTTTCAAATACTAATTCAGTCTTGCTTTGCCTTAGCCTTGCTGAGGGGTGTGCAAAACCTTCATTAGGGTAAGACCCTATACAGATACCCCTGTTTTACATGAGTCGCCTCAAAGTCTTTGAGCTCAGGAATGCTCACTACCGATAGGGGGACGACCCTAATTTGCCTCTGGAATGAAAATGAACAGGTAATTTCGTCTGCCATTCGTACTGTACAATGCATTATACACGCACATACATTTTGTAAGAAACACACGTGTGCGGAGAAATGAGAGTTTAATGCCTGTCGCCAGGAATGCAACAGGATAGACTGTGCTCCCGCGGCTCGCGAGGGCTACAGGGTACGCGGCCTGAATCGGTCGTGGCATGTCGCCTTTAGCAGTTGATTCACAGACTAAAATAGCACATACGCCACTTGAAATAGCGTGAGATAGCTGGGTCTTTTCTGTTCCTGTGGATGGCTGGACTCTTTTCCTTTCCTGTGTTTTTTCTGTGTTTAACTTCCTCATGGTCTTCGTTCTCAAGTTCGTTGGAGATACTGTCGCCAAGTCCTTTTTCTTCGTGTTTCTCTTCTACTACTGTCTTGCCTGTTGCCAGATCCGTTTTTGTCTTTTGTTCCGCGGGGGGATCCAGCTTCTGCAATAGTGTCAACAGCGAGAGACCCGAGCTGAACAGGAGGGCGCTGGAGAAGTCAATAATTCGTTCGGAGATATTTCATAGATACTTTTCAAATCTTTGAAGGATCTCTGAAGAGTTAAAGTCTAGCTTGCTATATGTTGCAAAGCTCGCGGTGATCATCCCATGGTGATAGGCGTTCTTGGAGCGAATGGTCACCAATCTCGAAGGCTACTTGGTGAAGGCTACTTGGCAGATCTTGACAGAATCCTGCTGCCAAGCGGCGACAAATCAGGAGATCTTGTTGGAGAGCCGTGTTTTCGACGCAGTTTGAACTGGTTATCTAAACTATTGGAAGTAGAACACTGGTATCTGTACCTGAACTATTGGTCATATTCTCAAGGCAGTTTGAATGGTTACCAATTCTTGGTAGATTTCCACAAAGCATTATGACGTTTGTGACTGTAAACGACTGTAAGCTAAGAACACCAATTGGACCTTCAACAACTCGCACAAGTGCCAGCCTCAGTGAATCAGAAGCCTCACATATCCATCATTCCGAATCATTCCACAGCAGTCAGCTGAGCACGACACTCCGGATGCTTCCCTGATCTTCCTTGCTCTCCTATAGTTGGCTTAGGTGTACTGACATCATGGGTGAGGTTGAGACGTGCTATAGGATTCTCGGACATGAAGGATCTTCAGTCGGTTCCAGCAGTTGCAAAGGGCTTTGCAGATATTGGAAAACCAAGGAAGTGCGACAACATCACCACGGTGGTCAAGCTTCAGTCAGAGTTTCTTGTCAAAGCTTTCATCGAAAGCTAACAATGGTAGTTGGCAAAACCCCCTCAAGTTGTGATGGATTGCACCAGCATTTCTTTCATTTCGAGGCAGTTCCGGAAGCAGTTTGAAGGCGTTTGCGGGTGCCTAGGACTGTCATAGCCGGCTGCTGCGCACCCCGCGCTACGGCAGAGTCTGGGAAGTGCGAAGAGCTGAAGTCCAGAAGGTGGGGAAACTCCATGGTCATCAAGGGATTTCCAGTTATTGTACGTTATTGATCATTTTTCCTTGGCAAAATCCATGAAGAGGTATATATATATATACATATAATCCATTATATATTATTTTTCAGTATATATATATAATCCATATTTTTAGAAGCACCCATATGGCCATATGGGGACCCCTTGGGTCACATTTCTTCCCACTCAGCAACGTTCTCCAGGGAAGCCTGGTTGGAGTATGACTCCTGTGTCCTGTCTGCAACGTCCGATGCACCGTGGATACAGTGGCCTCATCGGCCTCATCAAGCTGTGGTGACGAGTATCGGATTACAACGATATCTCAGTACAGTGAAGTACAGTATATATATATAACATATTTTAATATGGTGTATATATATATATATTATATTATATATATGTCTCTTTTATTCCCCACATTGACGTGTGGGGTTTTTGTTTTTAGTTCTGTATCCGCTCCTCCTCGTCCTCCTTCCTTCCCGTCCTCCCTCCCTCCTCCCTCCCTCCCTCACTCACTCACTCACACTCACTCACTCACTCACTCACTCACTCACTCACTCACTCACACTCACTCACTCTCACTCACTCACTCACTCACTCACTCACTCACACACACAAACAAACACACACACTCACTCACTCACTCACTCACTCACTCACACACACACTCACTCACTCACTCACTCACTCACTCACTCACACACACAAACAAACACACACACTCACTCACTCACTCACTCACTCACTCTCTCCCCACATTGACGTGTGGGGTTATTGTTTTTAGTTCTGTATCCGCTCCTCCTCGTCCTCCTTCCTTCCCGTCCTCCCTCCTCCCTCCCTCACTCACTCACTCACTCACACTCACTCACTCACTCACTCACTCACTCTCACTCACTCACTCACTCACTCACTCACTCACTCACTCACTCACTCACTCACTCACACACACAAACAAA